GTATTTATTGATAAAGATTTATGCAAGAAAAATAATGGCAAGCTCATCTGTATGCGCTCAATAACAAATTTAATGTTTTGGTGCTGATTGTACGTTCTTTAGGAAGAAGGTTATAGAGATAACAAAAAGTATTCAATAACAAAGTCCACAAAATAATATAAAATAGGGGCAGAGCAAACAAGGACCTCAGAAACATCATAGGTGGGATCAGGTGCCATGGAGGAGTGAGCATCCTCTGCTAACCAGTCACACCTGCCGTAACTATGCTCCTTGTCATGATCGGGAAATAACGGAAAAATCCGTCGTCGTCAATTCAGTGTATATCTAATGGATTTACAATTAGTATGAAAAACGTCAGTCAGCATTTGACTCAATGATAAATTGTATTTGCTGACAAGGTCAATGTGTCGATCACAGAACTTACGAAATGATGACTTGAAACGAAATTGCTGATATTCTTGTTTCATCAACTTACTCGTAAATAATTTACCTTGTTTTAGAAATTGTTCATACGTAGAGCATGCTCTTGCGTACCGAATCAACTAAGATATATAAAATACATGGTTACTGTCTTGAAATATAAGCGATATATATTGGCATAGTGTCAACCTAAATGTGGAGTTGCACACAGGAAGTGTTTTTTTTTCTCTTCATGCATAATATTTTGGACAAATTCATCTTCATGTGAATATTAAAATAGGTCTGCTAATAATACGAATTTACGAGATACATTTTCATTGAAAAATCAGCTGTCAATGATATCAAAAAGCATGGACTTTAATTTATCGTGGGGAATGGTAGTGTATAAAGTTTAAAAGTCGTAATGTTTTAAGCTGTTGATTTTTAAAAAAAAATTTTTGATTTCAAATTGTCCAAAAGCTCTTTGGAATTTTTAAGTATCCACATCTGATTCACACCACTTCTTGAATATATTGTTGCACGGTACTCTTGACGTTTTTCCTTCGCCTTGTTAATATCTTAGTGAGGAGTAACGAAAGAGGCTTGTTTGAACATTTACTGGAACCCGCAATGTATCTTTGTTTGTAATGATTTTATGAGTTTTGGTATCCAATATATATCGTGAAAATCTGTGGAATATTAAAAAATTGACATATGATTTTGAAGATTTTCTTCCTTAGAAAAGGAAATATGAGTATAAGCAGAATTAGCAATTGTAGCAATTTTTAACCTGTCTAACAGTGAGTAACCATGATATTCATATCAGCAGATGTCGATATCTTATACTTATTTAAGAAATGATACACTTTATATTAAACATAGGGAGATAACGAACAGTATTCAAGATCAAAATCCAATAAACAATACAAAATAGGAGCAGAGCAAACATGCATGTGCCTCCAAAACATCAGAGAAGTACAGTACTTGAACTGATCATCTGATCAGTATTTTGGTTTTGAATGGTTTGAATTCAATAATAATAATAACTTAAGATTCTTTAATTAACGTTAAAAACATTCAGTATGTAAATGGTGCATAAATTCAGTATTAAATGTTTTCGTTCTGTACATACATCCAGTATGTAAATGTTCAATCGTTCTGTACATACATCCAGTATGTAAATGTTCAATCGTTCTGTACATACATCCAGTATGTAAATGTTCAATCTTTCTGTACACACTAAAACATTTAGTATGCAATTGTTCAATCGTTTTGTTCAATCTTTTGTGCAGAAACGTAATTAATGTAAAATAAAATGCATATATCAAACTACACAAGTAAAATTATATGCTGAGCAATTGGTACCATTTTACGTGCATAGATAGCCAATATAAGAATTATTTTTTGATAAATAGCCTTTTTTAATTTTAAAATTACTGTTGACTAGATCCCCTTTTCACTTTACCATAGTTACTTTATTTCGCTACCTTAGTTCTGCAGTTACCTATGTTCTGCACGCAAAATGCACATAAATTCCACTGCCAGGTATTATTTTTGCACATTTTGAAAAAAAAAACTGGCTCATTTTATAATTTGAATAAACTCAAGTTGTTTTTTACCAAACCTAAATATAATATAAGAATGCAATCAAATATATGTTGGAAAGAACTTATATACCCCCTCTAATTGCAAAAGGAGACACATATCAAAATGTTATAAATTGTTTTCAATGTGTGTTCGTTGAATTAATGGTCTTGAATTTTTTTTACAGTCGAAAAATGACATATCATTAAGTCACGGAGCAGTAAAACCTTTGACGTCACACACATATATTTAGAAAATTGAAAATCAAATTGAGCTTTCGAAAGTGTTATAATAAATTGATATTTTTTTCGTCAACTTTGCTTACATGTCTAGCAATATTTATTATCTAATCTATCTTAAAAACTTCAACAAAAACACATAAACATTTAAAAAAATGTTTCAAGAAAAACAATTTTAAAAATCTATTAAAAAGGATAGCGACATCAGAAATATTATTTACTCTGCGACTTTAGAGCAAACATTAAGCCACTGTGTTACGCTTGTGACGAGAGGTCCTGGTATTTATAAGATATAGCAAAAATAAATAGAAAAACGAAATTAATATTTGAAATTAATATATGGTGAAATTATTATATAAACGGAAACAAAATTATTTTAAAAAAAAAAAAGAAAAACGAAATTAATACGTAAAGAAAAACGAAATTATTAAATAAAGAAAAACGAAATTATTAAATAAATCAGTTCGTTTATCTTTATATATTAATTTCGTTTTTCTTTATACATTAAGTTTCCTCCATTTTAACTTTCCTTTATTTAATAATTACGGTCTAATAATATATATAAATTCCGTTTCTCTTATATATTAATTTTGTTTTTGTAGAAAACTGAAACTAAAATACGAAATACGAAATATGAAATATGTGCATGGTAAGGGCCTGCAGGTGTCGTAACAGTAAATCATGGCTGACGCAAAATAATCCTGCATATTTTGGCATTTTTATGACTTGAGCTGAATTTTTTCTGTGAGATTAAACAACAAAATTTATTTATTAAAAATTAGTGTGGATTTTTCTACATACTGTCAAGTGTGGGGAGTGATTAGGCCCTGAACTGCATTTTCACAGTCGTTTTCACGAAACAAACTTGTGTGCCTTGCAGGATGGCTATGTATTTTTTGGTAATAAACTATATTTCTGTTATTAGCTTCTAAAAATATCAGGTCAGTGGTTTGCTTAAATTTCGAAAAGAAATAATATATTATATATAATAGAACAATAATTAAAGATACAATAATGTACAAAGAACTTTGAAAATGGCCCCAGGATCATGAAACAAATACTAAGGTGAAATTTTTAATCTCTGATAAAATATTTATTAAATAAATCATTTGTTAACAAATCTTGTAAAACAATGTTAAAAATATCCCTAACCCTAACTCTTTTGACTTACAACATTTTATTTTTTTTGTCGACTTAGGCTCAAGTACCTCTCCATTTTCAGTAATGTTTTATATCAACTTTTATTCAACAAACAGAATAAAATTTTAAATGACGAAATCAATGGGAAGATCTTTGATCACTTAAGGATACACCAAAGGTTTCCACAGGGCAACATTTAATTTGTTTGTAATTCTTTCATTAACAAAGATAACATACTAAAAGTATATATATCATTGGATCTTAATTTAAATTTTCATTTTTATCTTATTGAAACATTATTCATATTTTAATGTAAATATTGGAGTTTTATGAAGAGACTTACTTTTACATTTAAGAGCTGACTTTTACATTTTAGTGATTTGAGTTTGTCTATGTTTAAATTGTAAAAGTCAGTCGTCAATTGTAAAAGTAAGTCTCTTCATAAAACTCCATTAGTGCATTTATATTTTATAAGTCAACTTCTTTGTATTCCACCTCTCAAAGTCAAAATTTTGCCTCAATGTAGCTTAAAGATGAAAACATTTACCATTTTGAAAAACATTCAAAAGTTTCATTCATTTGTCTTTCAATGTTACCATCTACTACATTTCTAATTCAAGAAACAAGATGCAAAACAAATGAACACACTTGAGACACATTTGGCCAGTTTTCAGAGAAATTGAAATATAAATATTGAAATAATAACAGTATTCAAAGGACAAAAACCCATAAAACAATACAATATAAAGAGATTCAGCTTTGGATACCTGTCACTTATCAATATTTCCATGCATATTCACACCAAACATCAGCTTTTAATGGTAAAATAGGGATCAGAAAGATTTCCCGGCAAAATGGCAAGAGCTACACTCTGTAAGCTCCACCTCCTATTTCATGGTCATTAGTGACCTGTTAGATCTCCTTCCCTAAATCTACAGTCCTTGTAGTTTAATTACTGATAGCCTCAGTGTGGCTAGTAAAAAATTCCCCAAGTGGTCACAGTGATTTATTGCTCCTTTCAGAAGCAGGCACAGACCAAATCAGAAGATTCAATAATTGCACATTCACATGTGTTAGTGTTTATGTTTGATTATTGTTAAATAATTAGAAAACCATTTAATAATCAGCAAGAATTTTTCATGCATTATAGAGCAGTGATTAGTATTATTTTCTTAGCCAATCTCAAAATTGACAAAAATCTTTAAAAAATCCTTTGGTGTATCCTTAATGGGCGCGTATTACCCTAACCCCAACCCTGGCGATAACTATCTTGGCAGAGCGTTTCACATGCTGACCATTGCCCTGCTGTACTTTAATTGCTTCTTAAACCATTTGATGTTTGATTCCCTACTTAACACTATGTTTGATTACAAATTGAAACATTAGGAAAAGAAACAAAAAGATGCAAACTTTTACAATGTAATAAAATGTCCAAAATATAAACATAGAAGTATAACACTTCAGCAACATACATGTAAATATCTATGTACGAGACAGCTGACCTATTACGGAGCTTAAAAAATATAATCTCTGATAGAAAATCGGATAAATTCGTTAAGTTAAGGTAAACAGGAGAAGATGAAGCATAAAAATTGCTCTAAGGTACTAGTCAAACCGGAAAAAAATACTTGAGCAGTTTTGTAAGCATAATTTTTGCTTATATTGGGGCATCAACTTTGATGTAAAATAAAGACGTTGTCAAACAAGCATAAATAATTAAGAAAATAACAAGAAACAGTCTATCGAGGACGCAGGCTAGCCCTTGCCATTCTCGTTTCAGGGCCTCGGGACCTTCTAGCTTATAGTTTTCCAGGATAATATTTTTTAGAATCAACTGCAATTTTTCTTCAAGAATGGATGTGTCAATTTTTCCATTAGGGAAGTGTTGTTCTGCTCTGATATTTTGTGTTTCATTGACACGATGCCCGAGAAAATGACCCTCTGTTTCCTCTGGCCTGTAGTCTTGTCCTTTCTAAAAATAATTCCAATAAATGTCATACTTTCTCATTGCACAAAGCATAAAATCATGGACAGTCACAAATTAAGAATGCAATATGTTTAAAGGACAAGAATTTATCTCCTGCAATACGTTCTATTTCCACTATTGAAGAGTTATACTTCTTAGTGCGCTCTTTTGTGAAAAAGTCGGAGAAAGTACAAATCTCGCGGGATTTCTGGGACAAACGTTACATAAACATGCAAACAACACATTGAATGTCTCTGAACGAATCCTAACAAAATGCATTTGAAACATTTTATTTTTGTGGACTCTATTTAAATCAAGAGGGATATTAATTTACATCTATTGGTGATCGTATGTATCTATAATTTATAGTAATTGTACATTTAAAGTCAATACACATTACCTCGGAAATGTCGTATCTTTATAAATAAAGTTAGGGTTTTCGCTCTTTTTCATGTCTTTTAGTTCTATTCTTTAGTTAGAATGATAAATGCACTTAACATTTAAAATTGATTGATAGTGACATGTTTTGTATTATCCGCAATGCCATGCTGTCCCAGTTAGACGACCAAACGCACCTCTAATTATGAAGAGTTCACTAATAGAAATATAACGTATTAAAGAAATTATTTTTGAGTTGATTTAATTTAAGAAGCATGGTATGTTTATGTAATGGAAACAATTGGTAACATTTAACCGTTTGTTAGGAGTTCCTGTGTGAAAAACCAATTACTATTTAAACGTAGATCCTGTGTCAAATGTCGTTATTGATAGATTGATTGATTGTATATTTTTTAACGTCCCTCTAGAAAATTTTTCACTCATATGGAGACGTCACCGTATGCCGGTGAAGGGCTTTAAATTAAGACCTATACTCGGCACTCAGGGCCATTGAGCAGTGAGGGTTCTTTATCGTGCCAGCGCCTACCGTGACAGGGGACCTACGTTTTTAAGGTCATATCCGAAAGACCCGTGACTTTCACTTCTAGTGACAAGCGCTTGGCGAAGGAACAGTCACTACCTTTGTTTACGTCTTAGGTATGACGCGGCGCCGCGAACGAGAATCGAACCCGGGCCTCCCGATCACGAAGCGAACGCCGTTAATGATAGGAGAATGAAATCAATTTAAGGTAGTCCGATCCTCAGGTTTATAATATTAGCAGTTAAGTAATCAAATATACTCATAAAAGTATCTCTGAATCCACAAAGTTATGTAAATTTATCCACAATATTTCTTGAAAGTTAAAGATTACAGTTAATCATAGTATATAGGGAAGTTTGTCAAATCTCCAATATTTTTGCAGAAAAAGCGAATTGGAATATCAGCAATGCATTTTCTAATTGCAAATTGATCAACAAATATATTTAAGGTTAAAAAATGATATGGTATCCAGGCATTCAGAGAAATTGTCATGAGTTTTATACTTATTTGGTATTTTTGTGTTCTATTTCCATCATGTATTCTATAATACATAAAGTAAAAGGCTTTTGCTATCATTACAAGACACCACAAATAATTTCTTATTTTATATCATGCTAATAGGCCTTGGTATCTACGGCTGGATTCAAGAAAATCTTATTTTTCTAAAACTGTATTAATTTTTTCCTTTTATAGGGTACAAACGTCAACTTTTATAAGACATTTTCTCTGATTTCCTAAAACTTTGAATCTTATAAATATGAATAAAGATGAAAAAAAGATGAAAAAAGCTTTATTTTGATGCATTTCAAATTAAATATTAATTTTTGGGGTTATCCTTCCTAGCTGAGGATCGGATAACCATAAGATGCCGGGAAATATTCAGTTGAGAAGATCTTGACAAAAGGTAATGCATCTATTAACTAAAGGTTTTTTTTATATACATGTATATCTTTAACGAAATATTTAGTTTGTGTATATTAACAATAGTTTGGTAAAATATTAACTTTTAACATAGAAATTAACATTTTTTAATGTAATTTCAGACATTTATGTAATGATTAAAGTCTGTGTATGTGCAAAAAGGTCAAGGGAATCACTAGTAGTATCGATAAAAAATAACTCTCTCGTTCATTTGCGGGGAAAGGTCACTATTTTAATCTCTTTTTGAAATCATTTTGGATTTGTTCAACATCATTTTAAGATTGAAAACACTCTCGCAAATACTTTTGGTAAATGTTTACAAATTCAGGGTCATGGGTTTCTTTAACGAAAATACTTTAAACATTTTCCATATAAAGATTACAAAATGATGAAATTCTTGATATATGAATTTTTTCTTTGTCAAATTAGTTGACAGCTTTACCGTGTGTAAAAAAATAATTTAAATCTAGTGGTTAATTTGGGATTAATTTGTTGACCCTCCAGCCTCCTTAAAAATACTTTAAACATTTTGAGTGTATTTGCCTACTTGTTGAAATTTGAATTTAATCTTTATGTCAACTGAAGAAAAGCAATTTAATATTGCATAATATTCTTAAAAATATTAATTGACCAGTTAATTAAATTATTAAACAAAGTTGTATCAACAAGTATTTTTGGGATATTTCCTTATGGCCATTAAACGAGTATGGACCCCTAAAATAGCTGGAAATTTAAGTCGCAGTGCTTAATTATATTTCCTAGTTTCTCGAACTAAACTACGTTTCATAAACTTGCAACATACATTTACTAGAAATTGAACAAAAAAACGAGTGCTAATTACTTAATTTTAAAAGTTTGATAATTCTGTGATAAAGACTTTTCCGATAGCGTTTTACTCTAACAAAAAAATTTTTCCATGAAGTTTAGACAATGGAGAAAATGGTAAAGGTCGTGTATTTTTCCAACACATTTCATGAAACACTCTGATTCTACGTAAATAATTTTTCCACTAAGTATTTAATCATAATATTCGTGGAATAAATGATAAATATTTTCTAAAATGCAAATTTATACGAATATTGTACCTGAATATCTGGATCCTTTTGTTCTGGTTTTTCTTTTACAGAGATGGAGACGCAGAGAATTCGGGACAGGAATCCAAAGCAGATTCTTTTAAGAATGTTTGGAACTTGACTACCATTGTCTCCATAGTGATAGACGTTCAGAGTTACTGCATTGATACTTATAGAAAGGGAGATAAGCAAGGTTGATATCCCATAATATAAACCTAAAAGTGGAATTGTAAGACTGTTCAAAAGATGTTTATAAAGTTCTTTTTTTTAAATAAAGCCTGTTTAATAATGTCGGGGGTGGGTCATTGCAAAACAAGATATGTTTGTGAAACACTATGCGCCCCGCTATTTTTAGCATTAAGACCACAGTCAAAGTCACAAGGTCTTTGACCTTGGTGTCATTTGGAAGAACCTGATTAGTGGAGATGGCATACTAAATTTGAAGTCTCTATCTTTCATGGTTCAAAATTATGGCGAAGGTTAAAGTTTGCAGAAAAAAGCTATTTTAAGCATATAGGCCACAGTCAAGATCACAAGGTCATTGACCTTGGTGTGATTTGAAAGAGCGTAATTAGTGGAGTATGCATATCAAATATGAAGTCTCTATCTTTCATGGTTGAAAAGTTATAGTGAAGGTTAAAGTTCGGGACAAACAAACAAACAGACAGACAGGACAATATACGCCCTGGATCTATCAATCCTGGCGCATAAAAATTGAGAGAGAGAGAAAGAGAGAGAAAGATAGAGAGATAGTAGATTCTTAATCTTCAACATAACATACACTACATGTGTTCACAATCCAAAGAGGTATCTTCAAAGCAAAAAATGTTTTGACAAAAATTGAGTTGACTTACTTCAATCTAATAGAAAAGAGCAAATATTCCCTGTTCATACTTACTTATGAGAGGAATTGCATCTGACACTGGAGGGAGGCTATTGGCCACAACCATTTGTAAAACAACCATAGACAATAACGTAGTTAGTCCAGTTGATATTTTCTCATCCGATCCGTGGACGAAGAACCCAATAAGCGATATGATAATAAGTAAAACTGTCGGCATCAAAATATTGAACAAATAGTAAAGAGGTTTACGCTTTAAAACTATCGTGTATTTTATGTAAAGAAACGGATTCGTCCATTCGGCATGTGTAATTATCAAAAGTATATTTTATGAGATCAAACTCCGAATTTGGGTGATATTGACTTAGGCCCGTGTCTGGGTTGTCAGGAATAACATATATGTCAGTATTGTCAAATGACCAAGATCCGAAAACTAGGAAACATTCTTGTACATCGAAAGGAAAATATCGAATATCCATCAAACACGTGCTTTTAAATATCCACCGTGACCACCATATTGCTTGTCCCTTATAATCAACCGGAATATTTGTACTGCTTGAAGATCCCGTGCTTGATTCAATCCTGAAAAAATATAGGTTTTCGTGTGTTTTGCATTGAAGTTTATGCATAAAAAAATCATTACAAAAACATAAAATGTAAAAAAAAAATTGAAACACTAAATGTTTAAACAATGGCTTGCATGTTGAGTCTTCATTAAAATATCCGTAACAGAATATGGTTGTTGTAGACTTACGAGTTATACATAATGATATCCGGCTTCCAGATCTGATCATGATTAAAATGGATAACTTTTACGTCATCGTATTCTTCGGGATTCCAACTTAGATTAATATCTGTCCACTTCTGTTAAAAAACAAACGAATGTTAATTTCAAATTATAACAACCATTGATGTGTAGCACAACTTTTAAAAAAAAAATTCTATGGTGTAGACTGTGAAAGAAAAAGGTAAATGCAAATAATTTTACCCCATGTCTTACTACAACCTACATATACTTTATGTGCACAGTATAACTAAACACATTCCTGATAACGCATGTAGTACTTACCATCTGAAACCAGCAGCTGAACGTTAGCACCTGATCACGTTCGTCCTATGTGAAAATAAAAAAAGATAATAAGGTTACATATAGATGAAGTGATCGAATTTCTATTTTTATTGAATTTTATTATTGGGAGTATAAACCGGTAAAGTGCATGATTGTTCCCACTTGCTTGCATGTTTATTTGTCTAGCTTTCTCTCTAATTTAGCTTACAGTCTCTCGCTCAATAAAGTATATAATAGATCTCAAAGTCTACAAAAAAGGTATATAGAAATAACAAAAAATATAAGGAATTGAAGATCAGTCTGTATCGAAGCTTGATTTGAATGGAAATAAAAAAACAGAGGAAAAATGTATGATTTTAGTCATTCAAAAGGTCCCGAACCTCTGCTATAAATTTCACTAAAAAATTTAAAATTTCTAAACTTGTATTTTATGAACAACACTAACATTAGTGTCACATGGAAAATAGTTTGAAGTATGCAGTGTTGCTTATTTTTTTTTCAAATGATTTTTATGCCAAATCATTATATGGGGAAATTGAACACAGAGAACAGAAAAAATAACAATTAATTATCACAACATAAGATTTAAATTATTAGATGTATAGATTAATAATACGTTGTATGTGGTTGTAAGAAAAAAAACTACATCTATGAAGAGGAGTTATTTTTCTTCGAAATATTTCTTCTCTTGAAAAAAAAATGTAATGCTAAAAAATATCTGTATTTGATGCTTGAAACATTAATCCATCTCTAAAATGGCCCTAAAAAGATACAACTTCTCCGATTTATGAACAACAGTATAGTATATGTATTTTGCTGTTACTTTAATTCTACAGTTACATTGTCCATAGGTCATGTAGTAACCATTGTAGCTCTGCAGTTACCTAAATGCTGTATTTACCTTAATTCTGTGTTAGCTTTTTTCAATTAGTAAGTTACCGTATTTCTGTAGTATCCTTATTATGTATTTAACTTACCACGTGAACAATACCGACTAAATACACTGCCAGCAAAACGTCTAGACGATCTCTATGGTTTTGGGACGGTCGGATGCTTTTGCTGTAGTTTCTCATTAGATCTTGCTCTAACCGTATTTCATTTTCATCACAAGAAACAAATGTGACAACTGTACATGAAAATTGATGTGATAACATAATTATTTATATATCTAAGATGATATTATAATTGTATGGATAAGGAATATATTTTTAGTCGCAATATGATCTTTTCTTTCCTTTATATTCCTAACAGAATGTTGCACTTATGAAAGTATGCTAGAAGAATGTTGCACGTATGAAATTATGCTAGGTAATGAAGCCAAAATCAAGATATACTAGATTATGTAGCCAAAAATCCAAAAGTTTGACTTACTTATGGTGGAAAAGAAGATATGAAGAAACAGCATGTTCCCCTTAAAAAGAGAAAAAGACAATAATCACTAAAAATCCTAGAGTGTGACCTTTGGAACAAAAAAGGAATTGTTTGATGCCAGGTCTTAAATGAAAAGTATCACTCTCTGAGAAAATCTTTGCTTTGAATAAAAGAAATCCACACCTTTTGATAAGGTAAAAATAATAAACAGTAATTGATCTAAATTGAAAAAAGATTACCCTAGACGAAAGACTTTGTATCAAACTATTGATCCAAAATAATTAATTTTTTAATATACAAATGTATGTGCTGTCTAAACCTTGGTTTAGACAATCTCATCTGAAGGGCAATCACAAGTTTTTTTCAAGTATTGTATTGGTTTAAACCCTCTTATTAACCTGTAATTAAGTGTATTGATTTTTAAATTATTCTTTTCCAGAGATGTCCAGAGTTAGCCCCAGAGCTCTAATTATTTTCGTCCATTGTCATTTTGTATCTTTTAGTTTCATTGGTTTTTTAATATTGTCTTATGCTTTTTGATTGGTTTTTGTGTTTTCCTCCAATTTTTTTTGTGATTTTGGTCAGTTCTTGCTTGGTTGCCATATGAGACGGAAGTGTTTTGTCATTGAGTTTTCTACTTTTTATTATCAGATATTTGATATAGAGACCAAAATTTCCTATTACATTGTAGGTAATTCTTTCATACTAATGAGTAATAAGATTCTAATTATATTAAATGTGAAATCTGTAATTTTTGCACTTAATTTCTTAAACCACGTTTTCTAGAGTAAACATATAGTGAGAGTGAGACCTTAGGTATATAAAATTACATGTAAATTAGTAAATACATTGCTGTCTCACTTTTTCATATTTTTTAGCGTAAACTTTATTTTATGATTAGTCTAGATAACTACAAAGTTGTTTATTGTTGATTTTTAGATATTGTCCTACATGTATAGCTGTAATGTGTATGCATCTATTTGATGTTTAGTAAATGACCCATTCCCATTGAATGTTATGCATGTTCATTGTTTTTATACCGTATAAGTAGATTTTTTGGAGAGGATTTAATTTTGGCAATAATAGCAAGGGTGCCGTGATCGCTAAAATTGAATATCGCTAAAAACTAGTTGCGTTTTATTTGTAAAAGCTTCTTTAATATGCATTTTAAAATCGCTAAAATAACATCTCGCTAAAAATAAATTACCAGTTTTTAAGGACAAAACGCTAAATTTGCGTCTCGCTAAAGTTTCCACTTATACAGTACCAAACAATAATTTATAAAGTGCATATACATTGAAATGATCATTATTGTAAAGGTTTTATTATACATTGATTAAAGCAGTGGGCGATTTTATTGTGTAATTTTCATATACATGTAATTGGATTATCTCCCTTGATTTTGATAAAGCTATATAATATATTGATTGTACATGCATATTGATTAATAGCTTATAGTTTCTATGCTAAACATTTATAATTTGTTATTTCATTATAGGGTTTTGATCTTAGTACTCTATCGTAAAAAAGAGATTCGTCTTGTCAAAACTCGAACCAACAGCCTTGTTGTTCTTATAAAATCTGACACCATTACAAGTCACAAGTCTGTTACAATTCTATTAACAATTAATTAATATTATTATACTTTCATGTTAAATACTAAAATCTGATTGGTTTAGATGTTTGAAAGAACCGGAATAAGCTTGACGTCAATAAAAGCTTCTGTCTGATGTAGCTTACTTGAAAACAACAAACGACAGACGAAACATGCTTGCGAGTGCAGAAATAACGAAACTTTAGATGATACAGGACTCGTAGAGCATCAAATAAACAATAAAGAGGTCAGGCCGGAATTAAAAACATCTTTGTTTCCCCTAACCCGCCCCTAAATTTTCAAGTTGGGTTGGTAGGTAGGTTAACAATTTTATTTTCTGACAGCAGCTTTGAAAACTCATTCTAAAATTTAATGGAAAATTACATTTATAAATAAGAAAAGTACAAAAGAAATTGATTTGTGAACAAAATGCTAAGTATCATACATATGCCGTTTAAAAGTAAAATTCCTGATTAATTAATTCACAACTGTAATTTAGATGAATTTGTGTAATATCTCACACCGGAGAACATTTATATAAATCGAATAAAAAAAGACAAGATTCTGAAATACGCAAAGACTGGACATAGACAGTCAATGTACTTTTTTGAGGGCCATGAGATTTGCAGTGATTCTAGAGCATTTTGCTTTGGAGTTAAGAAGTAAGAGTCTAATTTTAAGTCACAGGTTCAAATACCAATGAGGAACGTTGAAAACGGTCCTTCAAAAGGGACCATAAAAACTTATGTCCAGTGTCGCCGAAGATGCTGTCTTAAAAAAGATCCCCACTGCTTAATGGCAAAAAAGTGCGTAGTATGTCTAAATTTGGAGCAATAGGGAATTGTTCAAATGTCCCAACAAATCTCGAAGGGATTAAAAGCAAAGAAACAACCAATCTTTAAGGGTCTTATTAAAGAAAACTACACTGGACGTCTCAGGAAGCTGAATTATGATTTCAAAACCATTTGGAAAGAGTATTTATTATTTAAATGAACCAAACCGAATCTACAAATGAAAAAATGCTAGATATAAAACGATGTCATAGTCACGAAGTTAAAAAAATACAATTGAATTATATTTATCAGGATGAATAGACAGACATATTTACAACAACTTCTACGATTTCATAATGGCATATAGTAAACATAGGAACATACCGTAGATGAATTGTTTATTAGATCAAAAGTCAAATTAAATAAAATGCAGTGAAATTGAATGATGTGTTCAATAGGCGGGCCCCTCATCTGCTCATGAGGCTGGCCTTTCCACGTATTACGTACCTTATATTCAAAGATAGGCTTGTTTGTTTGTTTGTTGTTTACCGTCCCTTTCGAAAATTTATTCACTCACATGGAGACGCCAAGATACGTCCGAAACACTCTTAAGTAGTCATGGTAAATTTTATAATCGAAATGTTTTTTAAGTGAAGAATTCCAGTTAGCTAAAAGCATAAGATTGAGACATCGCCGTTGTTTTATGAAGAACTTCTTCTATGTAATCACATGTGGGCACTGTTTTGTTTCCATAAAATGCTTGAAAATCACAGTAGAACAATGTTGGCCGTTCTAATAAAAACTTATTTTGGTGAAATTGTATTTTTTAAAACTTGGTTGACAATAAAAAAAATTGAATCATCGTATTAAAAAAATCGTTTCAGTTGGCGGAATTTAATTGGGTCGGTCGCGTTAGGGGAAACAAAGGTTTTTTTTTTATTTTGGCCTCAGTAAATCTTTTTCGAAGTAGCGGGGAGTTTGAAAGCTTTCTAAACATGAACGAAAAGGCGATCGACGATTTGTATTGCTGACATAGTAAATCAAGAAGACGTTCGGTATGATAAAATAAATGGTGCCTGTTTTAGAGGGTAACAGTTAAAATTGACACCCCTCGGAAAACCATTGTCAACCTCAGCTGACGCGTCGGTTGACAATGATTTTCATTGGGGTGTCAATTTCATTTATTATACTTCTGTTAAAATGTTTCCTATACGTCAAAGTTCAGAAGGTAAAATGACTATCTTTCATAGTCCACGCATAGCAAAGCTATACCCCGGGGTATAGTTTTTTGCTATCCACTCTCGGAAAATTTTCATGCAATTTTTGCCGCCAATTTTGATTCCCAGCGATGAATCTATAGACTGATGATGTCATGATGACTTCAGTAGCATTGTGACGTCATCAGAATTTCAGATTATTCTTGCAGTATTATCTTACTCCAAAAAAATTCATACCTCAGAAATTATATTATACATCAGTATAATAAAACGCTTATCCACTGGTTGTGAGTGGGATAGCTCTTTTATCAAACCCTTGACAGGAACTATTCCCTGTCGCGGGTTTGATAAAAGATCTATCCCACTCACAACCAGTGGATAAAAGTATACTGTTACCCTCCAAAACAGGCACCATTTATATAATGCCGACACAGTGGTTAAAGCGTCTGATTTAGAGTCGTCGCGAAGTAAGGGGTTGACCCTTAAGTCGCGGGTTCGAGTCATATTATGCGACGTGGAGACCGGTCCTTTGGATGAGAATGTATCAGCCGAGAAGCCCTTCACCGGTATAAGGTGACTTCTCTATATGAACAAAAATTCTAGAATGTGACGTAAAACAACATTCAATCAATCTTTAAAATGTACCATCCAATATTGTTTGTGTAACCAGTCATATAGGGGCACACAATGAGTGCAACCGGTCAACAGGGGATGATTATTCCTCCATGGCACCTCGTTCGATCATTTTTCAGAAGAAATGATCGCGTTGTCATACAAAAGTGTTTGATTTGTATATTTTTGGGGCATGATTACCGTTCCTTATCTAATTAGTTCATTCATAGTTGTTTTTAATCAAAGCGATTTAAGTTGGAGCATGCCTCAAAACGCAATCAACAAAAGTTTGCAATAGTTTTTTTTTTTAATATATACTGCTATTCTGTATAATTATACAATGATATAGGACTTTAATTTATCGTCCTTAGACATATGTTGAGCACTCACCAGATTTTAACTGACATATATATAATGCCAGCAGATATCATAAAACATGTTTATAAAAGTTAAAATCATTATTATCCTATGATGCCTTTTATTTGATTATTAGATATTTTATTACCGCATATATTTCGGATACTGAATTTTATCTTTCAAATTTTCTCAAAGGCAAAAATCTTTCAATCAATATTGCACGTGATATTAAAAGGAATAACATTCAATTTTGTCATAACGTTTAAATAACATATACATGAATTTAAATGATAAAGGCGACATATATAAAGAAATTCGTAACTTTATGAAATGGCTGTACTTACCCTTAGCAGAGGAATTTTTGCAAAGTCTAGCACACAGTTGATGAGTAAGATCTAACGTTATTAAAATATTACTACTGTCGATACCTGGAATTTGCTATGTAAACAACAATTGAATATGTTACAGCTGAACAAATGAACGTATTTATTGTCTAAAAAATTCAGT